ATCACTGGCAGCTGAAAGAGGGATCGATTTGAAAGGGAAGGGGAAGGGACTTGAGTTTTACATTATTTCTGTCCCTTTTTTTTTTTTTGCTACACATTAGCACCCCTACCTATCAAGACAAGCTGAAGAGCAAATGAAACTCAAATTGTGGCTCCTTGTTAAAAAATCTGATATATTGAAATTTGGGGAAATAGATTGAATCTTTTTTACTAAATTGGATTTGGGCGATTATCTCTGGACTTAGTTTATCCATTCAGTTCTCTCTACCCTAACCTCGTGACAGCTAGGTGGTGCAGGGGGTAAGAACTTTGTTCCTCGAGTCAGGAAGACCTGAGTTCAAATTCAGCCTCAGATACTTACTAACTTTGTGATTCTACACAAGTTACTTCACCTTTATCTGGTTCAGTTCCCTCGATTGTAAAATAGGAATGATAATAACACTTAGGGACAGCTAGGTAGTGAAGTGGATAGAGTGCCAAGCCTAAAGTTAGGAAGACTCATCTTCCTGAGTTCAAATCTGGCCTCAGACACTTAGTAGCTGTGTGACCATGGGGAGGTCGCTTAATCCTGTTTGCCTCAGTCTCTCATCTATAAAATGAGCTAGAGAAGGAAATAGCAAACCACTCCAGTATCTTTGCCAAGAAAACCCCAAATGGGTTCACAAAGAATCAGACGTGGCTGAAATAACTGAACAACAACTACAAATAACACTTATCTCCCAGAGTTGTTGTGAGAATCAAATGAGAAAATATTTGCAAAGTGCTTTAGCACAGTGCCTGGTACAAATAGGTCCTTAATAAATGCATGTTTCTTTCCCCATGCCCTTTTTCCCTATACCCCTTTGCCAAGATAAGTGAAAATTGATAATACGTCTTAACTTTTTATTTTGTGAAGCATAGGGCAAATGGAAGTCCATCCATGGTCTTCCAGTTTACAAGTGTTCCTTATCTGACCAATGCAAAGCAACACCGTGGATGATTTCTGTATCACAATTAGGACAATCAAAAAACCTAGGTGAGGAGAATCCACAACATAGTCAAGATTTAAAAATCTGACTAATTCATTTCTCCCTATTAATCTGAAGCCTCCCTCAAAGTAAGAAAGTCCTCTGAAAAGAAACCAGTAAGCATATCATGCAGATAAAGAAAAGCAATTAGAAGGCACAACCTATCCTACATATATTTAGGTTTAACAGAACACTGTTGACAACTTCACAAGCTCCAGAGCTGAAACCCGATCCTCTGCCTTAGATTTGTTATATTTTATTTTTAGAAGTAGTTACTTCCCTCCGGTAAATGGTTAGGGAGTGCACCACCAGGTCTGCACAAGACAAAACTAAAAACAGAACCTGGTGAACTAAGACGATCTTAACACGTAGAAAAGGGGTCCAAATCTGGCCCTGCACAGCCTGGCAGTCTCTTTGACAATCAAAACAGGAACACTAAGCTGACATTTTGCCAATTAACACAAAGTGAACTGTACTTGAATTATTTCCTAGGCATGTTCAGGATATGAGCCTTCCCAAGTGCCTCTTCTCTTACTCCATAATTATAATCAACCACAAAAGCAATTTCCCCTATAGCTTGTTTTATTAATTCTCTTTATTGTATCATATAATATAAATGTTTCTCATTGAAATTCAGACTAATTTTGAATTTTCTCCACTGGGAAAAACCTTTTCAAGAAAGAGCAGTAAAGTGTTTTAAGGATCATAGAACTGGAAGGAACTTTAGAGATCATCTAGTCCAAATCCTTCATTAGTATGCTACATAGACAGATGTATCTATATCTATGTGGACAGATATTTCTGAATATATCCCCCCCCACCCAACAAACTATCCTTTGTAACAAAAATAAAATAAAATAACAGAGTTGGGAGTGGGAAGGGTTAGAAATAATTTAGCAAAACTAACTGATAAATCAACCAAGCCTAATAGTACATATAATCCAACCTATTATTTTTTTTCCACATGAGGAAACTGAGGGCTAGAAAGGTTAACTGACTTGCTTGAGGTCACAGAGGTAGTAAATATTGAAGCTGAAAAGTTAGTTCCAAGTACAACGTACCTTGGATTTGATGGCATAACACAAACTGTAGGAGTAAGAAGTCTAAAATTGGTGACTGTCCCTGACAAGATGGACTACAGAATATAAAAAAGAGGGAAGGTAATCAGGAGGAAGAAAACAACAGTTATTTGTACTACATGCCCTGCAATTTGTCACTATTGTTGAAGACTCACTTATTAATACCAATGTCATCATCTGAACTGTTTATTTCCATACCCATGCCCAGGACGATGTTCTACAAAGCCTTCTCTGATGTATTTTAAAAAGTCTCCTGTTCTCTAGCTAAATTCCAAATCTTTACCCACTAATACAAAACCAAACTCCCCTTAGCCAATTTTAGCAATTAGCACTACTATCAGTTCTTATACAGAAATTCTGGAGAACAAAAACATGTTATCAGAGCCAACTTTACCACTGTCACAAACTCTCTTGTAATAAGTTACTATGGCTTTTTTTCTTTCTATGGAAAAACATCACTTTTCCCTCCTTTCCTCTCTCCCACAGAAGAAGTAGGAGATACACACAAAGGCATTTGTAAAGTAAATAATTTAATTTTCAAACTCACTGTACCTCTCTGGGCCTCAGTTTCCTTATCTGTAAAAAGAGGGTACTAGCTCATCTTCTCTATCATAAAATTCCTGAATGAAATCTTTATTCTTGTTTTTATTTCCCATTACATTCACTCCCACCATAATGTTCCTCCATTCTTTCAGTCTGCTTATCCCCCACCATGCTCTTCCACATTGCCCTCTGTGTGATACCTATTTTAGCTCTTCAGAGGCAATGGTCTTCCATGTATCATTAACATATAGCAACACTAGTACTATGTTAGTATTGAAAAGATGGGCCTTTGTTTTCGAGAGAAACTTAGGGTCAATAAAAGAGGTTTGTAATTTCCTAAAAGCTCTTCTGCAACACCAACATGTCGGCCAGTTCTATTGTCTTTTCTAGATATTAGACATACTATTGGACAAGCTCTGTGGGTTTTCATCCCAATGCATGTTGCAATCTAGATAGTAGATATTGTCCAACCTCTTGAGCTCTCTTGTGTGGATAAAGAAGCCAAAGTCCTTGGAGGAAAAGATTTTGTATATCCATATATATATATATATATATATGTGTGTGTGTGTGTGTGTGTGTGTGTGTGTGTGTGTGTGTGTGTATGTGTGTTTTCTCCCCCATTGGAATATAAGTTCCTTGAAAACAGGGACTGTTGTTAGTTTTGTCTTTGCATCCTCAATGTCTAGAATATAGGTGATTAACAAATGCTTGATTAATTGATTATACTCTATTAATTCAGAATTTGTGACAATTCAGAGAAAAGTTGAGCTGTTTTTCACATTGTGCATATTTTTGCATGCTAAAATTATCAAATAACAGTGTACAAAAACACCACTGGGGACGTAAATGTTTTAAATGCTTTAGAGGCACTTTTTAAAACTATGAAACCACAAACTTCTGTTACTTGCAGCTTATTTTTAAAAAGTATGTATTAACTTTAACAAGGTATAAAACAAATGACCCCTGTTTGTTTTTATTCTTATTTTGAAATTCTTTTCTGTGTTTTAATCCAGGTAATTTTGCGGCTGCTATTATTCTTATTTACTTAGCTATAATCAGTTTATATGTTCTTTTGTTTCTGCTTCCTTCATTTGGTATCATTTCACATGTCTTCACATATTTCTTTGTGTTTTTCATGAAATAGAATAATATTATATTAAATCCACACATCACAATTTGTTAGCCATCCTCCCAATCACTGGACATATGGAATATGCTTCTAGATTCTTGCTGAGACAAATAACAATTTTTTGAAAGCACTTATTTCCATTCAGACATAACTGACACTCCTCCAAACTGTTCATATTCCTTCAGTATAGGAAGACTTCTAGGGACCTTTAACTAGTTAAAACCAAACCTAGTTTGAATTGCCATAAATACTTACAAGTATTTAAATTGCATTCCTTTTGAAATATTCTAAGCTATTTTATTTTACACTAATTAAGACCAAACACTTCCTCAATTAGCCCTAATTATTGAGGATTTATTGTATTTATAGATTAAATTAAAAAGATGGCACTTTGCTTGGCACATAGTAACTGCTTTCCTTTTTTAGACCAAATCCTACCTTCTACAGAAGGCCTTTCCAGGTCCCTATCAATGCTTATACTTTAACTCAGAGATTACCTCTAATTTACCATGCAACTATCTCATATGTACAAAGTTATTCGAATATTACCTCTTCCTGATATCCCCATTAGAATGTGAGGTCCTTGAGGATAGGGATTATCTATTTGCCTCTCTTTAAATCCCCAGTGCAGTGCCTGGCATTTAGTAAGCCGTTAACAAATGCTTGTTGATTGAGTGAACCTGTGACTTCTGCCCAGATCAACACCTTCTCTACATTTTATAGTCTTAGAGAGCTGCCTGGTGACCAAGAAGTTAAGTGATTTGGTCAGGGACACAAACAAGACATGAACCAAGGTCCTCAAAGGATCCACTGTGCCATGCCACCTCTCATCTTCACTTAACCAGTATTTCTTTAATTGAACTGAGTTGCTATTGCTATGGAGGAAAAGAGTTATGCAATATTTCACATATTTGAAAACTGTAAGAATCTCTAAGAAGGAAAGAGAAGGCTATTTTAGCCTGTTACTAAGTAATATAAGAACAAGAGAATGAAAATTAAATTAGACCAAATGTTATGGAAAACCTCCCAGAATCCTTCAAAGATACATGATGGAAGTTCTATCCCCTAAAGGTTAACGGGACAAAGATATGACTAAATGTGTTATAAGCAATTCCACCCCAGGAGGCAGTTGGACAGGATGGGCTCTTCAACCTTTATCATATCTATTTCTTGTGACTGAGTGATTCACAGGACAAGGATATGACCAACTTTTGGTTACTTGCCAAAAAGCTGGCCTGACTACCTGACTTGGCTGTGACTGTCATGGGAGTGGAGGCAGGAAGTAGCAAGAGAGCCATCCAAAGCCAAAGTATCCAACAGCCAATGTCCTTCATGGCCCCTGGAATTCAGGTGAACCAGTGGCCACAAACCTGCAAAAGAGAAAGTTTTCAGATTGAGGCTAATTTTACCAAACTCCCTTTATTTCCCTCTTCACAAATAAAAATACCACAAAAAAGCAAAAAACATGTGCATCTTATGTAATGTGAATGTCTTAGTTCACATTAAAATGTTCTGAGAAAGTTTACAGTTTAGTTTCAGATGTGTGACCAATGAGAAGCAGGGTGGCTTAGCTGTTAGAGAACAGCCTCAGAGCTAGGAAAACCTTGGTCCCAGTACAATTTCTCACACTAACTGGTTGGGTGACCTTGAGCTAGTCACTTGCCATTGCAGTGTGTCAGGCAATTCTTTGAAATTCTGAATGGAGGAGCAACTTGGACCAAGGGCTGATAAATCCCATCTACCACCTGTTTTTTTTTTGGCACGGCCAGTGAGCAAATGATTTTTACATTTTAAAATGCAATGAAACTTTATTTACAAATGTAAAAAAAACCCATTCTTAAGTCTAGGGCTGTAGAAAAGCAGACAGGTGGCAGGCCTGAGGGCAGTGTGCCAATCCCTGAATTAGACAAATTGAATTGAGAAAACCAGAAGAAAAGTTTTAATTGCCAAGGACAAATGAAGAAGAGTGTTATGCAAGATGTGGGGGCTTTAAAAAAATCATTAGAAAAAACTTCAGTCACCATCTCCTCTGGTACCCTAAGTACAGATGTAAGCAACAGTCAGTAGAAATATAGTTACTATTTTTTTTTCTGTTTTATCAGCTACTAAGGCCAGTCTTTGGCAGAACTGTGAAAATGGTAACATCTATACCTCTCTACTTAGCTCCTCTTTTCAGCTCTTTCAACCTGGGGGCTCAATGTTCTAAGAAATGATGCCTACTTTCTAGTAATTTGAAATTTCACTGGGGATAAAAAACATAAACATGTGAACAATTTAATGCCAAAGCAAGACATGCTTCATAATGTCACTCTTGTACCACCACCTCCTCCCCTCAAAATATTATTCTTTTGGTTTTCATTCCTTCAGGACCCTGTTTACTGTTAGGTCACAAAAGATGGTGAAGAGTTAGTCAGATAAATTAATCTTTTTAATGAGTTAGCTCACTAATATGTATGGTATGGGAAAAAAGGCCACAGGTCTTGGATTCAGACCAGAGTTCAAATCTCAGCTCTGCCACTTACCTAGCTTTGTCAAGTTACTTAACCTTTTTAAGGTGCATCTTCCTCATCTGTAAAATCAGGCTAATAACAGGTACCTCCAGGGCCTTAAGTCAATAGAATGAGTTCTCTGGGAATTTTATGAAATGAAACAAGACCAGTATGGGGGTGCGATAGGAATAGATTGAGGGGCACAACAAATAGAGTTAACAAATAAAATATATATTTCCTGAAATAAACCAAAATGAGTGAAAATAAAAATGCCAGATAAGTGTAGTTTTGTGTTTTCATTTTTACACTTCAAGGCTGGCATGAGTTCTGTATTTAACTTTAGGGAATGTGAGTGAAATGATTCACTCCACAAAAAAGCAGTCACTAGAAGATCTGTCTGACCAATCAGCTTCATCCTTTCTGAGTGTCAGTATGGTATAATTAATACAGCACTTGACTGCACATCAGAAAGACCTAGGTTCAAATCTGCCTTAGACACATAAGATTATAGATGTAGCATTGAAAGAGATCTTAGAGATCAAATACAACCCTCTCATTTTACAGATGAAGGAACTGAGCCCAGGGAAATTAAGTGACTTGCCCAGGGTCACATAGCTGGGAAGTGTGAGAGGCAGGATTCAAACTCACATCTTCCTGTCTCCAGGTCTAGTTCTCTATCCATTATATCATGCTTTCTCAAACAGGAGTCAGACACTTGGTATTTTCTTTTTACATAGTCCAATTTCAAAGGACTACAAGGACTAGCACAGACTTGGAAATTTCAGAGCAGAATCATAGGCTAAAAGATCATCTAGTCTGCCCCCTTCATTTTGCAGATAACAAATCAGACTCAGGCAAATTAAATGATTTGCCCATTCAGCAGAATTTGAGCCTAGGTCTTCTGACTCCAAGGCCAACACTCTTTCCATCCTACCATACTTACTAGCTAGGTGACCTTGGGCAAATCACTTCACAGTTTGCCTCAGTTTCCCCAAATGTAAGATGAGGATAATAATAGCACCTACTTACTCCCAGGATTGTTGTCTGAAGATCAAATGAGAAAATGATTATAGAGTGCTTACTTAGCACAGTGCCTGCTACACAGTAGGTACTATGTAAACTCCACCTGTTATTATTGTTATCATCTTATTTATTAATTGTATGACCCTGGGCAAGTCACTTTACCTCTAAGGCCCTCCTTTTTTCTCCTCTCTAAAATGAGGGGCTTAGACTCCATGATCTCTAATGTCCATTCCAGCTCTGGATCTACAATCTTATGAACCTTTCCCTACCTCTGACCCTGCTGCAAGTGACTAAAATTTCCATCATTAAGTTAACTCTTCAAGGGTTTTCTGGAGACAGATTTGAGCTATTATTATTTTGTTTCAGAGAGGTACTAATAACATAACACTTTGCAAAGTCCTCTGTAAATGTAACTTTGTAATAAATTTAAAAGCGCATGTGTTATAGTGAAGATTCAAGGCCACTAGTGCATAGAAACACTCCCCATGTCACTGGTTTTCAGATCTTGCCTCATAAGTACCAATGCCTTGTCCCAGCTGTGCTTTAATGACTAAAACAACATGTTCAATAGCCTTGTTTCTACCACTCCAACACATCATATGAAAAGCAGCAAGAATCACATAATCCATTACTCTGTTCCAAAATCTACAGTTATACCTCCCATATTACAGCTAAACTGTTTTTGCTTGAAGATCCTCTACCTTTGCCTCTTCCTCTGCCTCTTTCCCCTCCCCCACCAACCTCACTATCTAACTACCCTCATCTCCTGTTACATTCCAGCTGGGATTCTCTGTTTCAGCCAGGCACATGACTTGCTCACCCTCAACTCTAAGCCTTGACACATGCCATTCCCCTTGCCCGGAATGCCCTCCCTGCTCTATTTGGGCAAACCATGCTATTCCCTGACTGTAATATTTTGTTCAATATTCTCTTCCCCTATGAAGCCTTTCCTGACTAAATTCATCCAGATCCATTCATTTCCATCATTTCTACTTTATATAATGATATTGGAGGAATGAGGAAAGGCTTTAGATAGAAAGTAGTGCTGAACTGAGTCCTGAAGGAAGTAGAGGATTCTAAGAAGGAAAAGGAAAGAGGGACTATGTCCAGGGGAAAAGGCACAGAATTGGAAGATGAATTGCTGTGTGTGAGAAACAGTAAGAAGGTGAGTTTTTAAAATCATAGCAAGAGAGATTTAGGTATGACAGAAGAAAAGCTTGCTCACCAAAAAGGTGATTTTAAAATTAAATAATATGGTAGATGTTAACTTCTCTTACTAGAAAGTTTTAAGAATAGGATAGGCATCCATGTGTGTTGGGCAGTTTACTTGTCATCATACTTGTAGGAGTCAGTAATTCGGATACAGAAAGTCACAATAGGGATAATGATTTTTAATCACCTTTCATCTTTCTTTTTGTTATCTGAATGGCATTTTCATATTGAGGTTCAGAATGAACTAACTACTTCCTGTGACCTCTCTTGCCTCTTCTGGGGGAAAAAAGTAAATACCACACCCTTAAATTCCTCAAAGTTTTTAGCAATAGGACTGGACATGCTTTATGTAGGAAATCATCACTTTAGTGTTCATCCCCTTTCTGTCCCAGGCAATTGACTCCCTACTTCCACACCACCTTCCTCTTCTGCTACTTGGAAGGCTATTCACACTGACCAACTTTCTTCTCCTCAGAGAGGTGGTTTTTATCGGGATGCTTTTCAGGACCACATTCACATCCACAGTTCCAAACCAACATCTTCACAGGTAATTCCCAATAGTCTACAAACTAAGAAAATCCTAGACAAATCTAGAAAATCTAGACAAATTATTCTAAAAGTTGATCCCTAAAGTCACTGCTCCCGGAGCAAGAAAGTAACCTTAGACCCCATCTAGTCCAACTTTCTCCAAACCAAAATCCAAGGAGGTTGTGTCTTCCCCAAGATCAAATAGTACAATAGATCAAGAGAGATTTGTTCTTTCTGCTGCAATACCTTGCCTCCACAGGCCTCATTTAAGAAAATGCTGTTGTGTAAAGGACCAACAAGTCAATTCAATAAGCACTTACTAAATGCCTACTGTGTACCAAGCACTGTGGTAGTCAGTGTGATAAAAATACAAAAACTAAATAGCCACTGCTCTCAATGAGCTTCCATTTTACTGGGGGAGACAATACACATATCTAAAATTAAATACCGTGGAGTGGCCTGGAGAAATCACTAGCAAGTTGGGGTGAGGAGGGATCAGCATAGGTTTCATTTAGGTAAGGAGTTCTTAAAGGTTGTGTGTGTGTGTGTGTGTGTGTGTGTGTGTGTGTGTGTGTGTGTGAGAGAGAGAGAGAGAGAGAGAGAGAGAGAGAAAGAGAGATTGACCCCTGTGACAGTCTGATGAAACCTATGAAACTTCTGGTAGTGTGTTTAAATGTATAAAATGTATAAAACACAGGATCACAAAGGAAACCAATTGTATTGAAATAGAGATGTAATTTTTCCCCATCCAAATTCACAGACTCCCCCTTCCTTCCTGCCAAGTTTCCAGGGACACCAAGTTAAGAATCCTTACTTTAGAAACTGGCACTTGAACTGCACTCCCCAAGAAACGTGAACAGATCTTGTTTTAGTTTAAAAATCACAGCATTGGTCGTAAGATCATAGCTTTAGAACCAGAATGGCCTCAGAGGTCATTTAGTCCAGTTCTCTATTTTACAAAGTAGAAAACTGAAGCTCAAAGATTTTGAATGAATTGCTAACATTTGAACCCATGTCTTCTTACTTCAAATTCAGCACTTTCCAGTATACATTGTCGACTCCTGAGCTAGGGACAAAGTGAAAGTTCTGGCTACCTATTTCTTCTGATAGCTTTAACTGTGCACACCTTGCGCACAATGCCACTTCTGGGCTGGTACAAAGTGATTCCGGGAACCCTTTCTATTCTCATCTCCTTTTACTTCCTAATTCCTCTTGACCTCCCAAAACCAGGATAATAAATTATCATTCATATTTACACAGAGCTTTCAGGTTTATAGAAGCACTTTCCCCACAGTAACTGTAAACAATATTATGGGCAAAGAAGTGTGGTCAGAGTTGAAAAGGAAGGCGAGGGGACAATTTCAGTCATTTCTGCCCAACCCTAAACCTCAACCTCTCATTTTGGATATTCCTAATTTTTTCTTTCAAATTGTTGTCTCATAACCTGATACCAAGCCCCTCTTAGTCTCTCCAATATTCTCTAATTCAATATAACTAACATGTATTAGGCGCCCACGATTGCAGAGTTCCTGATACTCTCCCACCCACTACCTCTCTCCCCTAGCTTGTCTCCCAAACTAGTTCCAGCTTCTCTGGGTACTGTTAGCTGTATGCACCTCACTCACACTAGTTACTCAATTCTATCATCGTCTCTTTCTTCGTTTTGGTCCTAACCTAGCCTGTCCCCAGCTCTTCTCCATGCACCCTCCTCCCCTGCTTCCGCCCTCCCGGGTCCCGCTAGGTCTCTGGTTCAGTTGCTGGCACGCTCCTTTGGCTGCTGACTTCCTCGCCGCCCCACTTGGGAATAGTGCTCTTGGCACCAGGCCAGTAAACTTCTGCGGGACCCTGCAGCGCCCTAGCTAGGCTGCGCCCGAGCCTCGAGACTGCGCGCTGAGGGCGGCGAGAACACTCCCGCGGCGCCTGAGACCACACGAACAGAGGCGGGCGTTCGTGCAGCGGCGCCGGTTAGGGCCGCGGAAGGCATTCATGCAGCGGCGACCGCGGCCAGCAGCATTCTAGCGGCGGTGACCTGGGCTTTCGGACGGCGGCCACGGATGCAACTGGAGGATTCGGGAGGTGGCCGCTAGCCTGGAGAGTAGCAGCCGCGTGCTGCATGGTAATTAAGAAGGGGGGGATCTGGGGCACTCCTGCAGAAACAGTGCCCGGGCCGCTGCAGCTAAAGCTGCTTCCCTCCTCCCCTCTCCTACCTCCCGTAGTGTCACCTAGGCCATGACACAGGAGCAGATTCCAGAATGTCCCGGTAGGTAGTGCCACCCTAAGCAGGAACTGAAGATCAGGAACCTCTCGTTTCACCAATTTATACTTATGTTCTCAATGTCTAACATATTAACACATCTTAAATTAAGTTACTGGACCTAGGCCACCAGAATATCTACATTAATATCTAACAGCATTGCCTATTCTGGATTTATATTCTTATAGCAAGGGCATCGTCACTATGAAGAGAATCATTAGGATATTCTTTACGACAATGCACTGCTAGTGTCTACACACAGCAGCACATACTTAACTGCCCTGCCTGTATTCAGACATACCTATCTACAGCCAAGCTATAATATGGACAAACCTGCGTTACAGATATACTGCCCAGTATGTAGCACACCAAACTGACATGGCCATGTTATAATGTTAAATTTGTATGGAATCTATAATGAAAGGTACATACGTGTCTATGTAGTCTCACTTGAGTATGTTCTATATACTTGTCCATAGTGTACTATGTAAATGACTTACTGAGCATAGCTAAAACACTGAGAAGTAGATAAACACGAATGACCATTTACGTGGACAGATTACATGCATAGAATGTATGTGTGTATGCCAGGGAAAGCAGAGCCAGTTACAGATTTGAACAGCTTACCTTCAGTTTTTGTATAAGTCCCTCAGAAGCACAGTAGAGGTCCGTACAAGGCTGCTGTAACTGCTGAGGAGTTGCTTGAGTGAGTCTCCCTATGAGTGGGAAAGGGGATGCATCTCTGTCCTTATTAGTCTCACACAGTGTGACCCTCCCACTCAGCAAGAACTGAAAACACTGCAAGACGGGACACCAACAAGAAATGCACAGGTCTTTTCTAATCACCATAAGGTTTATCCCAGAAAACGATGTGATGTGGTATGTTTTGCAAGCTGTTTCATAGATAATAAAATGGACTATTTGATTTTCAGGTTTGGGGAGTAGCTGACTTCTGGTTTTGAAGTAGTAAATAGAAAGTATTGTGTATAGCAGGTACCCACAGGTGGAGAATGGGATCTTAACAGCTGATCAATAAGAACATCATCTCCCCACCCCCAGTTTTCTATTACAAGTTTTTTTTTTGGGGGGGGGAGCTAAAGCATGATCATTTTTTTAAATAATGTTAAGATACAGTGTATTTCAAGTAACACTTTCACTGTTTCTAAGGCCATATCATCCATTCTTAAAGTGAAATAGTTTTGTCCAGGTGTTAATGCTCGCCAGTAATTCTCGTTTTGAACTTTGGGGCTACTCGACATCTGAATATGACCATTTTCTTCATATCTTTTGTATTTAAATAGGAACACTGGAGAAAGAAAAATAGGTAGCACATAGAAAGGTAACCTGGACATTGGAGAATAATATCTTGTTTTAATTTTTTGCTGTAGCTCAGAGATGTCATTGGTTAGGAACGTGATTTTATACAAATTAGAGATATCACTTTATTGATTAATAATAATCAGAAGTCTTAGAAGCTTAAAATTGTAATGAAGAATAAAAAAGTAAGCTACTTATATCATCATGGGCTGGGTCTAAATGATTTAAAATATAACTTGACAGCACAGATATTTGATGTCCCCTGACATGCCATTCACTGGTAAGACTAATAAATATTAGAAGTGCTGGTAAAAGAATGGACTGATAGATTTTTTTAGTATGTCCTCCTGGCTGACATAAGTATCAGAAATTTCAGATCATTTATCATCTAGATCCTTATCCACAGTGATACAAACCTTCTCCTTATATATCATCTTTTTAAATCTCATAAAATATTCTCTTCTTACATGATTTTAATCATTAATTTTTAGTTGCAATGGAGAAGAGCCAACTAGCCACAATACCAAGTGAGTCACACTGCTCAAATGACCATTTTGAAAGACGTGATTCATAACTTCATATCTTTTGGTGTTCATTCCATTGACAAACAACAACAACAAAACCTACCTTAGAATCCATATTTTAACATTTGTTTTCTGTTAAGTTATATTCCCTATATTCAAAAACATTTATTATTTTGAAATGAGCATTCTGGCTCTAATTTCTCTTGGAATAAAGCTCTACACAATGGATACATATTTAATTGGTACATGAAAATAAAAAAAATACTCAAGAAATTGATCTGATTTGTTTTTAATAAAAATAAAATAATTTAAACATTTTTTAAATTTCACAATTCTCTAAAATATTTCAACAGTCATTTGAAATATCCAAGCATGATTATATCCATTATGGTATCACTTTAATATATCTCTTTCTATCCACAGGCTTTTGAGTTTTAAATTTTTCTCCCCTTCCCTCTCCCTCCCCCCCAAGACAGCTCACAATCTGATATAGGCTATACATATACATTCCTATTAAACATATTTCCACATTAGTGATGTTGTAGGGAAGAATTAGAACCAATAGGTTCTATCCACAATAAAAAATGGAGAAACTATATTCTTTACTTTCAAATTACTACTATTCATTATACTGCATCTGCCCTAAACCTCAGCTACATGATCTAGTTTCCATTTTTTATTAAGAAAGTATTCCCATTTCATTCACTGTCTTAATAATGCTGGTTTCAAAATGACATTTTGATCATCAGGCTCTTCCATACAGCCCCCCCCCCACAAATACACATGCACACACACGCACGCTCACACTCACACTCATCCTCTGCCAAGTTTTGGTCTTTTCTAAAATTCTTGTCATTGAATTTGAAAGTGACCTAAAATAGAAAGTCTCTTCTTCCTAACCAGCAGCACTTTATGTATCCTAAGTAAAATTTGAAAGGATCAGTCTTTCCTTTAACAGTCCCCTGAAACTGCTGTCCCTGACCTAACATCTGAAAATAATAGGGGCTTCTGACAGAACTCTGAATCTTGGCAAACAGCTTGTTGCCTTTCTAATGCCCAGTTTAGCTGTGTGCATGTGGGAATCCCTTCTGTACTAAAAAAGCTATTTTAGAAATGAAAACCTTTCAACATTTATGTTCTGTGTAGGACATGGTTAACTGTTTTTGTGCCACCAGAGGAGTGAACTACATTTGATGTTTTTTTTTTCAAAGTTAGTTCTATTCTTTGAATACACCAGATGTACAGTATAACCCATTTAAAATGAACATTATTCAGTACGTTAACAATAGGTTTGTAATGTTTGGGAGCATTTTCCCCTTAAGGAGCCTCACTCTTGTCTAATCCTTTTCGTTATGCCTCTTCATTTTCAAATTTTTTAATATTGCATTTATCAGATCCTTTTGTATTTTCTTTTTACTTTCTTTTTTATTGTTGTTATTCCATAGTTTCCATTTGTCAAGGAGAAAGAAATTCTGCAGTGCCCCAAGCTAACTTCTCAGTTACCAAAACATAAGGGTATTCATTCTTCAGTGAATTTTCAGGGCACTGGCACACATGACTTCTACACAAAAACCCAGCAAATTACTTCAATGCATCAATAGTAATAGAACAGACGTTACTGTTAACTGTAATTACCGAATACAGACTTATCATCGTCAACATTCCCTTCAAGTTCTATTCATTTTTGGCCTAAATGTTTACATTTAAGGGTTAAAAGAAGTCACCTACAACTTTTATAGTCTCAATTATATTCAGTATTTAACTTTTGACTCAAGGTGTTGTTTCCACCATTGCTTCTGTAGTAGAGATTTTTATTGGAAGATACACTGCTCTCATTTGTTATTTATATGTTTTCTTCCATTTTTAAAAAATGATCTAGCTTGTGAAATGCACATGGCTTGGAAATCAGAGAGAATGAGGCTATCACTAGCATGGTTTTCAACAGTTTATAAGAACATCTTCAAAGGATTAGTATCTTTCACACAAAGTAAGACATTAGCATTAGGTATGGATAAAGCAGAGGTGTCAATGCTAGCATTCCATTCCATGTGGAAAAAAGTTGTGAAGTGTGTTTTTAAATCTCACATTTCATTTATGTACTTTAAGAATCTTCAAACTATTTGGTACTGGTTGAGAAATAGAGTGGTGGATCAGTGGAATAGTTTAGGTACATGACACAATAGTCAATGACTGTAGTAGTCTACTATTTGATAAATCCAAAGAATCTAGCTTCTGGGATGAGAACTCACTATTTAACAAAAACTGCTGGGAAAACTGGAAAATAGTATGGCAGAAACCAGGCATAGACCAACATCTTACACTGTATACCAAGATAAGATCAAAATGGGTACATGATTTAGACATAAAGGGTGATACCATAAGCAAAGTAGGAGAGCAAGGAGTAGTTTACCTGTCACATCTATGAAGAAGGGAAGAATTTATGAACAAACAGGAGATAGAGAACATTATGAAATTCAATATGAATAATTTTGATTACATTAAATTAAAAAAATTGCACAAAGCCAATGAAACCAAGATTAGAAGGGAAGCAAAAAGCTGCGAAACAATTTTACAGCCAATGTCTCTGATAAAGGCCTCATTTCTAAAATATATAGAGAACTGAATCAAATTTATAAGAATACAAACTATTCCTCAGTTGATAAATGGTCAAAGGATATGAACAGGCAGTTTTCAGATGAAGAAATCAAATCTAGCTATCTATAGTCATATGAAAAAATGTTCTAAATCATTATTGATTAGAGAAATGCAAATTAAGACAACTCTGAGATACCACCTCACACCTATCAGATTGGCTAATATGACAAAAAAAGAAAATGATAAATGTTGGAAAAGATGTGGGAAAATTGGGACACCAATGCACTGTTGGTAGAGTTGTGAACTGATCCAACCATTCTGGAGAGCAATTTGGAAGTATGCCCAAAGGGCTGTAGAATTGTGCATACCCTTTGATCCAGCAATACCACTACTAGTTCTGTATCTCAGAGAGATTATAAAAAAGGGAAAGGGACCCACATGTGCAAAAATATTCATAGCACTCTTTTTGTGGTGGCAAAAAATTGGAAATTAAGGAGATGCTCATTAGTTGGGGAATGGCTGAACAAATTGTGGCATATGAATGTAATAGAATGCTATTGTTCTATACGAAATGATGAGCAGGTAGATTTCAGAAAAACCTGGAAAGACTTACATGAACTGCTGCTAAGTGAAGTTATCAGAACCAGAAGAACAATCTATACAGTAACAGCAATGACCAACTCTGATAGACTTAACTCTTCTCAGCAATACAATGTTCTAAGACAATTCCAAAAGACTCAAGATGTAATATGCTATCCACATCCAGAGAAAGAATTATGGAGTCTGAATGCAGATAAAAGCACATCATTTTCTCTTTTTTTTTCTTTCTCAGGGTTTTTCCCTTTTGTTCTGATTCTTCTTTCACAACATGACTAGTGTGGAAATGTATTTAATATGATTGTGCATGCATAGCCTATATCAGATTGCATGCCATCTTGGGGAAGGGGAAAAAAATTGGAACTCAAAAATCTTACGAAAGTGAATGTTGAAGAAAGCCTATGTAATAAATACTACACATTGTGTTAGTTTTTTTTTAAAGGATCTTCCAACTAAGTATTAAAGAAAACCAGTCTTTCACTCCTAAAGAATAGAGGCAGTTAGGTAGAGCAGTGGATAGTGCTAGAACTAGAAAAAGAAAAATCTGATCCAGCATCAGACACTTAGTAGCTTTATGACCCTAGGCAAGTCACTTAACCTCTGTCTGCCTTAGCTTCCTCAACTGTAAAATGGAAATAATAATATCTACTTCTCATGGTTGTTGTGAAGATT